GGAGGATAGATGGCCAATGAACAGTCTCCTCTGCCTTCAGTCTCCTGGTTTCAGTAGGAATTACAGGGTTCTCAAGTGCAAATGGAAGGGGGTTCAGCCATTCTAGGCAACCTGTGGACATAGAGAGCAATGCAAGGGATTGTTCTCTTCATCTCTGTGGCTGGAGATAACCATTCCTTGAATGCCTCTCGGCTGCCAGAACTGGGAGACTGCAAGCTGAACACATAGAAGAATTGTCATTGGCTGTCAGCCCTGCTCCTTCCCACCCTATCGGTGGTGGGAGGTGTGGAGCTCCAGGACCAAGGAATCCCCTGTGGCACCCCGGGTTGGAGAGCACTCTGCTGTCTGCTGTTGTGTGGATTTTGAAACGCTTCTGCTGGGGAGCGTGGTGGGAGGTGGAGGGGTCATACAGGGAAGACCTCTACGTCTGTCTGCAGTAGAAATATTTCAAAAGTTGCATCTCGCCAGGACCTTGGTTTCTCTTTTAGTTAGAATGAATGCAAGAGGCAGTTATGTTTTAGACTGTTTATTGCACAACAGAAAAAAGGTAGCCACTTCATCCATTTCATCATGATGTGATAAATGATCTAAAAGGCTTCTTTGCCTTTGAAGACCTTAGCAGCAGGTTTTGACTGTTTTTTTTGTAGGTACTGATGTCCATGATACTTCAGGTGAAGAGTTTTGATGTTCCTTAAGCTGAATCAGCAATTAGTGATTTTACTAACTGATAGAAAAGTAGCCCTGAATTTTTAGACACTGGAGAGTAAAATCAGCTGTCTAGGATTGTGTGAGTCCTTTGTGTTCATTCTTGGAAAGGAGCGACTCTTCTATAGAAGGGATGATTAGGAAGAACCACCCAGAGATGAATTTAGGAGAGCTTTCCTTCCATGCAGACCTCTCCCTTGCAGGAGTGAATTTGGTCCCAGGTTATTTTAGGAGTCATGAGGAGAATGTGGATTATAGTTAAAGGAAAAAAGTTGAGGCATGACTTCTGAAGCCTTTTTACTTTGTTTTAGGCTGGTTCACAGGACACTGTAACAAGAGCAAGTAAATTGTTCCTTTTTTGGTTTTAAAGGATCTGTTGAATGAAGGAGTTGGACCACTTGCTACAAAAACAGTCTTTTAAAAATATTGTTTGTGTGTTTGTTTATGTATAACTGACATTCAGAAACTCTTAAACTAAAAGCATGAGCCTGTTAGCTAGCTATTGTATATACTCATTAACTTCCATGTGTTGGCGTTCCTAGAGGGAGACAGAGAACTACCTTTTATAAGTATTAATTATGCTTATTTTTCAAGCTTGACAGGAAGTTTGCAAAAGTTTTGCACACCAACAGCCATATGACAGAAAAGGTCACAGAACTGGAAACATATTGAATTAAACATATAACCACTAACATGTTACTTTTTCAGGAAGTTCCACAGTGTTTTGTGTCTCACGCAAAGAAAATATGCAAAAACATCTGTAAAAGAGCATGATTTAAATTTTTGTTTAACTGGGTCCAGTAGTTAAGGGCCCATTCAGAATGCCCTGATTACTTCCCTGCTGTCTCATGACTTTGCTTGCATTTCATTGTAGTAAGAATTTCCCGATTCCTGAGAAGATTCCTGATTCCTGAGAAGAGTGGACCAATTTCAAAGGTTTTGCACAAGCATGAGGAAGTCATGTGCTTTAACAAATCTTAGATGAACTGGTAAAGCATCATAATTTATTTGGATTAGATATCTAATGAGAATGGCATTCCTGAGAATTCTTGTATTTGCTTCCATTTGGGTTGAAAATAATAGAAAATGCTGCTGGAAAAGACCTTGAGATGTCATCCAGGCAATCCCCATAAGAAATACTGTAAGCAGAGGTGTAACTAGCAATTTCAGCACCCTAAGCAAAGATGCTGTTGAGTGCCAAAGAGTGGTGGTTTAGAGGGGAGCTGAGCACTGGAGAGAGAGGTGCCCTCTCAAAGGCTAGTAAGGCGGAAGCAGGAAGGAGTAGCAGGGGGCTGTTGGTGTCCTCTCAAAGGCTAGGAACAGTTGTTGCATTTGTTCCAGGACAAGTTGTGCCTGTGTCTGTCCTGGAACAGAAAAGTCCCAGGATTGGCCTATACACCTACTGCCATTCCAATCAGCATTTGGTGAGTGACTGAATATACTGCCACTTTTCTGCCATTGATTCAAGGATGAAATCCTGGGATATTGGTTCAGATGCATTTCCTGAACCTTTTTAGGGTTTGTTCTGGGACAATGATTGCACTTTGTCCCAGGATAAAATGATTCCTCCTTGGATAAGGGCAGCATCTGTTTGTAGCCTAAATCAACATCTGGCATCACTGCCCTGATTAGCCGTACCACTTAGACTCCTGGCTGTTAGAGTGATCCTCTTGAAGTATGTAAGTCTCACAGCCATAAACAGGAAAAGAAATGCTTTGTGAAAATAAATATTTTTTGTTTAAAAAATTATTTTTTTTAAAGCTTAATAATTATCTAGTTTCAGCTAGCACTGGTATTATTCAAACCAACTTGCCTCTCTCTACAATTTTGGGACAAAGCCATTAAATATGCTCTTTTGCTAATTTGTTTAAACAAGAATTCTTCCTAGACAAGTGGAAACTGTCAAATTTAGGTTAAGGGTCCAACTTATTGCTGGGTTTTTTTAATTATTATTTTTTATGATCATAATCTTGCATGAGTTAACACAGGGTTTTTTTAAGGCTAGAAAGAGGAGTTGAGACACCTAAACAACAATATTGTTGATTTATGGAGTGAAAAGTGGACGCTCATCTGACATGATGGTTTGAATATGGTACCTTAAACAGTCCATAAAATGACCTTCATAGTGATTGCTATGGAGATGAATGTTTGGGTCCATATTCTGCCACCATCATCTGCAATGAGTACTGCTTTATTCTGCAAGTAGTCCAACTGATTTTTTTTGTTACCATTTGTGGAGTAAAGTAGTACTGAACCCGAAGTAAGGCTGCAGCATCTCTGACTAATGGCCTATTTTTATTTTAAATCTCTATTAGGAAACCATTTAAACTTAATGCTACACTTTTAAGGTGCTGCAAAGCCTCTTTGTTCCAATAATCCTTATTATCAGGAAATATTAACATCCTTTATGTTCAAATTTATTGTTAGTTTAATAGATTTGAATGCCTAACAGTAGACTTTAATATCCAGCAACAAAAGCCAGATGCACAGTCTGCCTCATAAAGAGATGGCATTAAAACAGAAGGAGTTTGATGGTCTTTCACTAGATAATCTATTGAGTTTGCATTTATTTTCTAAATCATATGCAAAACAAAGTTCTCATTATTTCCTTTTTTAAATTAAAACAGCTGCACTTCATTTTTATGTATTTGATTATTTTTCATATTTGTCCACCTTCTATATTTGCAAATATAGTATGAAAATAAGAAATCTCATTACCTTAATAGCTAGCTATAAAATTATTTTCAGCACTAAGAATTTGTTTATAACATGTTTTATTACTTCATGATATGAATCCAATCTATCTAATAAGTTAGTGTTTGTCTCGAAAGAGAAATTCTTACAGGGTGACAGTAAGCTATGACCAGGATTTACTATGTACCCGCTTACCATTAACAGTTTTAAGAGAGTAGTTGTGTAATAGTTTGGATACTTCTTATAGTAACCCCCCCCCGCCCCCCGAAAAAAAACCGCACTCTTTTTAACTGTGAGAATAGTTATATAAAAATTGTATAACTGAGTTCTGACTGTGGAGGAGACATTTCTGCAATTGGTTTATCAAGGAGTTAAACAGAAGTTAGTCTTCAGGTTTGTTTGGTGCAGATATTTGCACTGTTTTTTCAGTAGGGACCATCACGCACTGCCAAAAACAATGTAATTTGTGTTTTTACAGAATTCTTTTAAAAGAACAAACTGTTATGAAAGGGGGGGGAGGGGAATATCATTGACACAGACATGGTAAATGAGACTAAAATAATTAAAGTGAAATTGCTTTCATTTATAGCTAACAAGTTTAGGCATTTTGCCTGATGAAAGCTATGTGAAAGCCTTTTTGTGAGGACATTATTTTTTTGCATGATGAGTGCCTTAATAGAAGTATCATAGGTTATGGAAAATAGAACAGTAGTACATTAGCTCAAGTTAATTACATTTATTCAGACAAAATAATATTCTGCTAGAGTCTTCTGTAGAAGCAGGAAAAAATTACTAAAACCTTTCGCCAATATTTATCTGTTTCAATTATTTTTGACAGTATATATGCTACGTGCGCTGTAGCTATAGGACCTTTATATCGACAGTTGGTAGCACAAGCCTTTTAAAGCACAAAGGGTAGCAGAACTTAAGCCAATCTGTGATAAAAGAGAAAAAATGAAATCACTATGGAAACTGCAGGAAGAATCTAAAAGCTTTCTTTATAAAGTAAACGTCTGATGTTTGTGACTGCGGGGGCAAAAAATTCATAAATCTGTATGATGCTATCATTTCTGACTTGTTATCACAGCAAATGCCAAGTCTAAGCAGTCTGACCTTAGCTTTATTAAGTGCTTTCTTTTCAGAAATAGTTACTGTTCAACAATAGAAGGGCTGCAGTGCTGCAAGGGGTAAAACTAATTTGTTTAAAATGTGTATTCTTTTAAAATCACACAGACTTCAAAGCTTATAGAGTTAGGAACACTGAGGTATACAGCAACTCAGGGAGCTGAATGCAATTCAGAAAGCTATGTTTCGTCCCATTACATGCCTGTCTTTGATCTCAGATTGAAAATCTCTGACCCTCTCCCTCCAATCCAAAAGCAAATAAATACTAGAGAAAAGAAACCTCTCTCCCTTTAGCGCACAGGGCCTCTAAGACTGAAAAATGAAGGTGACTGCTATTATAAAAGCTCTGATCAACCTGCTTGGTCAACAGACAGCAACAAATACCTGGCTCAGTGAAGGAGTTTAAGAGCATTGCAGAGATCCTCAGATACTACAGAATATTTTGCCTTACATGGGCCACTGTCTTTATTTTAAAGCAACTGAAGAACTAGAGAAGCAGAATAACAATAAATCTTACAAATCCAGAACTCCTCCTGTCGCCAAAACTACCCTGAATTCAAACCAGGATGATGCACTTGGTAAGTATATCTCTACTATTACATTTTGTTGCCTTAAATTTGAGGGTTGCTTTTCTGCCTTATGTATGATGTTTGTTTCTTCCAGCTTCTGGAAGTTTTACTGTAAATATTAGCCTTTCCATTATTGAAAACTACGGTATTTCCTTTTTTTATTGCTGCATTGTATTTAGACAGTGTATAAACATGGCTAGCATGATGTTTCAAGAGACTTAGAAATAATAATGCTTCTAAACTAACTTGATGAACTTAAACAGGCTTGGTGAAAGCATAGTATGTATTCAGGTCTAATATTTATATCTTGGTAAGTTGGTTTTAAATACATTGATGCTGAAAAGGACAAATGCTTCTCAAGCCTTCCAAACAGCATGGTGAGTATTTTAACTTTTGTTGCGTTAAGTTTAAATACAACTTTAAATGCAAAACTTAGTGTGTAGCAGACATTGTTCAAAATGATTTTACAATAAACAATGTGGGCAAGTACAAAAATTTTTTTTCCAGGTATATACAGATTTCAAGGTACACTGGTGAATGGTATTGTAGAATATTATTACAATATTAACAGTAAATCTTTACAGATTAACAACAGAGAAACACTGACAATACAATTTCTTGGAAAAGCAGGTTAATCTTTCAGTAATAAATATAAATCCTAAAAAGGTATAGTTTGACATATTGGCTCCATTGTAGCTTTTTATGCATATAATGAAAACCAATTATCTGTGAAGAAAATTTGACTTTGTGGAATGAAATTAAATTGCTTTTTAAAGACTTCCTTAAACAGCCCTAGCTAGAGCGAAGTCCAATAATGTTTTTAGCTCTGAATTGTAATGACTTTCCTACATTAATAAATCATGTTGCATTCTGACTTTTATCATAAGATTCAGAGGAGGAAAACTGCACACAGCAGCATGAAGCTACAACAGACAGCCCTGTGTTTTCCTCCATCAGGGTACTCTACACATGGCCCTTCAGGAGCAGCAACTTCCACAGAACAGCACTTACACTGGTAAGTCCAACCTTGCTGTGAGTCCATGGCAATATTTAAAGACAACTATTTTATTAATAAATGAATAATCAGATTCTGAATTGTTTAATGCACTCTGACTACTTAAATATACTATCTAAGGATTTAGAAGGAAGTGATATGTTATCCGTTGATGTTTTGCCACATTTGAAATGTTATTGCTAGGAAGATGGCTATTTAGGGTTATTTATTTATTGACTGGCTTGGAAACAGGTACAGGATGGAAGTAAAAAAGTAAATGCATTGAGAAGAAACTGTTTCACTTATCCAGCAACAATGCAAATGTTTCCTTTTTGTAGCAATGCATCATGTTTACAAATTTGGGACACAGTGTTGAATGAGAATTTTTTTAATGCATCTGGAAACAAGTGTAGGGTGCAGTTTCTGCATTTAAAGCATCTTAAACCTTGCAAAAAACCCTTTAATTTTTAAGAGTGGTGTTATACATGGAAACATGTTCTAAAATAACTAGCTTAGAAACAGACGATATCAACCTGAATGATTCTTCCCCAAAGGATCATGTATCCAAAGTATAATTTGTTACAAGAATATGATCTGATGAAATATATCTGTGACACTGGTGTGCTTCATTGTTATGTAGAGGCTTAGTAATAGTCTTGCTGAGTTCTAATCTTAGACATTTGCTTTTGTAAAAAGTCTAGCTGATAATACAGTACCCTAATTATGTTTCTATGAAAACAGTTGAGACAAAAAGGTGACATGTAATCTCCAGCACTATATTTTAGAAAAAGTTATTTAATTAGGAGCGTATCAGAAATGCCTCTCCTGAGAGTCTAATTATACTTTCTTTTTGAATATGTGATTATTTTATAGCTAATGTACAAATGTAATTAAGCATATTTTAATCATAAGTTCTTTCACTAAACAACACATTGTACTCGCCCCGTATCCTGAGGAAAGCAGTCACTCTGGTTCCACTCTAATATTTTTATATCTTTGAAATTTGTCATTTTATTTGAATAGTTTTCTGCAATAGTAAATTTGTGTTGCCAATATTATAAATAAATGTGTATGTTCTGGAAAAAAGCAACTTTAAAAAGAAAGGCAGGCGAAAAGTAAGAACACTGCCTTCAAACAGCCTTTGCAGTAAGAAATCAGAAATCAAAAATATATTAAATCTGAACTATATCTTATAACACTACTACTTATTTTGCAATAGCTATTATTTATTTTTGAAAGTTAGACAGTAGCTATGCTAAGTTGTGAAACTGTTTTGTGTCCTCATAAAATTCATTTTTATACAGCTAGTTTACAAACTGATCCCAAAGGTTAATTAAGGTTATATAACTAAGACTTTACATATTTCTGCATATATAACACAAGCAGTTGATGATGCTCTGTTTTTATTTTATCTGGTATGAATTGTTTCTTAATATGAAGCTATTTACTACAAGATCATTAAAACACTGAATCCGTAATGGGGAAATGAATACCTGATATCAGTGTGTGGCTTTGTTTCTGAACATTTAAAATTATGGAGTAAGCTGAAAGAGAACATTCTTGTAGTGTATCCACAGGTAACATTCTCAGACGTCAGAATATTATATAATATACAGTTAGATGTACTGTTTTCTTCATGCTTTTCTTTGGGGAATACAATACAAATTTTTCACGTGTCCTGTGGATATGTGAGTGTAAATATTCAATGTTGTGTCTAGGGAATTACAGTCATTGCAAACTCCTGCTTTCAACAGTGGAAGTTGTGTACCTAATTCTCAGTGGAAATTACTGAAAGTACACTCCTTAGAAAAAATATAACGCATTAAACAACATTTCTCAGTGTTTGCGCTTCTGAGGAAAAAAGGGTTTTCATTGAAAACTACTATAAAGGATAAAATATTTGGTACCTAGGGACTTTATCTATCTATAGTAAAGCACATGTTATTAGTTGCTTCTGATAGTCTTGGCTATATCAAGGTACAGAAAATCCTTTATAAGAAAATGTCGCCTTCCCCACCTCCCTCATAGCATGAGGCATGTTCTTTCCCTTGTGGACATGGTATAACATCCCTGTGTGTAAAGGGAGTTAAGCATTCCCCAGGAAGTGAGGATTTATCTTTCTAGTCTGTCGTCTTCTAGTGGGTCCAACACTGCAGTTGTTGAAAGTTATTCTTTTCACTTTCTTTTTGCATCTTTAAATTACAGGGGTTATTTGTTTGCTTTTTAATGCTAATGATTCAGTAAAGCCTACTGTTGAGAATCCAAGTATTGGAATATGTACAGCAGATTTGGTTCAGAATTAAGCATTAAAAGTTGATGCATTAGGGTCAAGGGGTGAAATCAAATATGATCATGCTCAGACATTTGTCACAAAATCAACTTTTGGAGTTAGATGATAAGACAGTGTCGATGGTCTTTGTTTTACTGTCTTTACACTAGTGCCACTTGTTCTCTGTAGAAACAAAGAAATTGCCACCTTATGATACATTTCAGCTGCTCTTTAGAATTGCAGCTGTAGGCACAGACTTTGAGCTGGTATAAACTGGCACATCTCCACTGAAGTCTATGGAGCTACACCAATTTACAGTACCTGAGGAGCCACCCCTAGTTTTCCCCAGCTGTTGTTTCTCACCTGTTTGTCTTTTAATAGTAAATGTATGTTTCTTATCAACTGGCACAAGACGGAAATGACATCATATTAAAGATAAACTTGAAATAAAATATTCTTCTCAAGCTGGGGAAGCTATTAGAACTGTTTTTATAAGTTAATGTAGCATGTCCTTCAGAAAATATTGAGAATAATTTATTACATTGCTTCTGTCAATACTTTCTGCAATAACTTACATTCTGAAGAAGTAAAATGAGACATTCAGTTGTACAATGTCAACAGAGCATGCAAATACACAGCCTTGGTTCTTAAAAATCCTGTATTGCAGAGGATTTTCTGCCTGCAGTGTAAGTTCCATTGATTTCCCACAAAAAAGGCATGCCTTCTTTCTTTGTGGATGGGAAGAATTTTTAACAGGCCACTTGACCTCTATCTGTAATGGGAAAGTATATAAAAATCCTCCTTCAGGTAGGAAATATAACTCTATAACTAACACATGACCACTGACTACTTTCCAAAGACATTTCAGAAAGGGTTTACAGCATGCTTTTTAAGTAGCACACATGACCAAACACTGCACTTATTTATGCAACACACAGTAACAGCTCATCTGAACTGATAAGCTCTATGTGTTCAAAATCCATGTTTTTAAAGGCATGTCTCTAATTTGCATTTTTATTAACAGTCTGAGTAAAAAATATTCATCCTGTGTATCATGTTTTATCTTCGTGTGAAAAGTGGTCATTCCCCTTCAGTCTTCACGCTTTAAATTGCTTTTTTTGATGAAAAAATAAGAGGCATTCCCACATTCATATGCATGCCTGTGTTTCAAATAAGATCTAATAGGTTTAAACACAATTTTTTTCTCTTAAGACAAAATACAGACCTGACACGAACCCCTATACTGTTGTATGCATGGTATCTAGAATCACTACTTCTTCATAAACTGTTGCGCTCTCCGCTGTAGGTCTAACAAGGTGCATACATTTCAGAATATTCTTCTCAACTGTGAGCTTCCTTGACTTTGTCTATTCACCTGAACTTTTAACTTATTTTGCACAATGTTACTTTTGCAAAACTTGTTTATGCAAAGTCAAGTGACAGAAATGGAGAGAGATGGGAATGGAAAGCTCTTTGCCTTTTTATATTAAATAATTGTCTAACTGCATAATCTCTCTTGAATACTGTTTTCTTTTAGGAACCCCACATCCACCCCAAATTATATCTAGGACCTGGCTTCCAATGGAAAATCTTGTATATGATATGATAAGCACATGTACCATTGTCATATTCGCAGTAAATAACTTGCCATTTTTTAAAAATCTAGAATATTTGCGTAACATAGCACATGGTGGTAGCTATCCATATCTGTTTTTAGTCTTATATTTTAAATGTTCAAAAAAGCACAGTGTATTGGTAATTTACCTTGTGTAATTTAAATAGTTCATTAGTAATGGAGCCTATTGTGACAACCACCAAATAATGTTAGTCTCAATTAATATTACAACCAAGACAGTACTTTAACATGATACATGATTTGTTTCTACATATAAGGAAATAAGTCCTAGCCGATTCATTTTCCCCTATAGGATATAAGGAGCTCCTTGTATTTTGCCAAAAAATAAAGTGCTAGTAAATAAAGAGTTAAAATGAAGGCAAGCTCACTGGTTTGTTGAGATCTGTCAGAGTCTGAGTGGCTGGCTACATATCTGTCTCAGGAACAATAGCTACCTGTATTCTGCACGGACTGCTGGGCAGGCACTAGCAATCTGGAGAAGGTCTGCCTCTGTTAGAGGTTTTTTTAGTGAGAATCCCTAATGACAGTCCCACTTTTCATTGAGGGTGGGGGGAAAATCCTGTCTGCTGTCTTGATGAAGGACAGAGCTTTGATCATTTTCATTCAGCCTTGACTTGGCCTGAGGTTTAGGTTCCCAGTCTAGAAGTCAGCAGGCTATCTTTTCACACACGCACACACACATGCACACACACACCCCTTTGCTGGTCTATGCAGGCAGATTAGTGTCACAGCTGTAACTGAGGCACAGAGCAATAAACATAGCAGAACCAATCTCCATGGTGGCAAGAGGGGGCACTGGAGGTGACAACAATGGAGAAGGATCTTTCTTCTGACAAGTTTTAGGTAAGAGAGAATATTTATACCCTCACTCAAGTATTTTATATCCTTCTAGATGAGTGAGAAATTGTTAGGTTTAATATGTGCCTTGTTATAAAAATATTTTACTTTACTGCTGTATCCAGACTGTTACCAGCCTGTAAATGTATAATTGCAGTACTTTGTGTTGTTGGAACGATTGCAGAAAATAGGCAAGGTTCCTCATGAAAGTAGTGGCTATTAGAGTTATGCTTTTGCAAATGTCTTCTAATGTTTGTCTTTTTAAAATTCACTGTGAAGCTTTATTTTTAGATGGGGCAAAAATTGTATTTAGCCATAAGAAATACAGAGATGCAAGAAAATGCTGTGTAGTTACCAGTACACATGCAATATTAAAACGGCACTCCCTCAACCCTAATTTGTAATTATTTTTACACTCTTAACTGTACTGGGGTCAGAGAGTTTTAAAAATTAATGAGATTCCCTGCTGAGTTCAAATAGTGTAATCTACATGAGCTGGTGCTGCAGGAGGATGAAATTATTCCAGCATATTTTTAATATAGGTATAACCTTCTTACTTTACAATATTGCTTTTTGAACACTTTCTATTAAGTAGCAGTTTATGCAGTCTGCAAGGAAAAGAGGACAATGATCCATTTTTAATAAGGACAAGTTCAGCAAAAGGAAAATGCATTCTATGCAATGGTATCAATACAAAGCAAACATTTAATAGTTTTAAAAAAATGTATACAGTAAATCAGTTTAGATTGTTGCCTTTCTGGTAAAGATATACAAATATTATAAGTATATAAAAATAAACTATCTTCCCTAAAACAGGAAAGAGAACAGTTTAATGTTGACATGGAATATATAAAATACTAAAGAACATGAGGCTTAAAAAGAATTGTCAGAGTAAGTTAAAATATAAAGGAAAGCAAGTGCTGTATATGAGGGGTGTGTGAAAAACTGGCATTTTGGGGGGTAAAATATTAGCCAGCTAATGTCATCAGCATTTTAGAATGTAATTGCAATGTAGGATTTGTAATTAGTCTTAGAAAAGGGGTGTAGGTGTTGGGAGAGGAAGGGGGGGAGATGTGTTTACTGGCCAATTCCCACCTTGAAATAATGACAAACTTTTGTAATGCAAGATTTAAAGCATTATTTATATTTATTATAATCTACAGTACATTGTTTAAGTAAAGGGAAAATGGAATGCAGTTTGAAACCTGAATATACAGTAATCACTGCTAAAGATGCATTTTATTCAGTCTCCCATTTGCAAGACCCATTCTGAGCTTCCTGTGATATATTGTTATGTAAATATGGTGCAGCAAGGGAAAGCAGCACTATGGAGATTCAATTTACTTTGAAAGTTGTTCATTATAGGAGGGATGAATGTTATTTATTTGATGCGTTTCAAAGGCTAGAAATGACTTTTTCATTGTGAAGTCTATTGTGATGGGTGCAGGGTGATCTAATCTTTTTAATTTTGGCTTTCACACCAGTGGAGATGAAAAGAGATCTGAGCTCATTTGTTGGTTGCTAAGTCTTACTGGAGGCCTAAGTACCATTCTTGGTTGCTATGGCCAATCTGACCTCAATCTATGCAGTTTTAGGGACTTAAGCAATCCTTTTTTTATTTAGGAGCATGTACCTTGATTTATGTCCAAAATTGCTCCTGAATGTCTTTGTCTACAAGTGATAAATGGTGGCGTACAATTCATCAGTTCTTACGAGTAAACACTGCTGTCCCACTAAAAATATGTTTTGTTCTGAGTTAATGGTATGGAACAAGCCAGTCTCCACAAACAGCTATCTTTTATTGTGGAGAGCCACTGAAACTTGGAGCAAAGTGAAGGAAATTGGCATTCATCTTCTCTTACATTAGCATTTCATTTGTGCTATCTGATGATGAGACTGTATGTGGAGTGACAATGAAAGGCTAGCATTCCATTTCCCTACCTGAATATATAATAGATCAATTATGAATGTATTTATTCTGTAGTGATGGTAAAAAGTCACTAGTACTATTTTATAGTGTTTGTTTGCCACTTCATTATCACTAACTGTTAAATATATATGCAGTCAAATAAACTGTGACTAGGTAAAAGAAATGTTGAGTTTCTTAGGCAAGTTTCTTGAATTTGTATAATATCTGATTTTTCTTATTACCAGAAATGTTCTGCTTGTGTGACACTTAATGGGGCTTGTACTTTCATGAATCTTTTCAAGAGATTATCAAGTACAGAGTGTTTTTTAGAAGATTAACAGTAATATTTTCCGTTATATTAAAATTACTAGTTTGATTTGTCATTTGGATTATGCCTGCTAGGTTTATGTGATGATAATTACAGAATAACAGAGGCAAAATAATTTGCTATTTGTAACACACTTCAAGTATAGGGTATTGTTTCATAGCATTTGTCTTTAACAATAAGTTAATTTTTGTACTAAACTGGCTATCACAGATGACCACCATGAGAATTAAACAAGCTATTATATCTGGTAGTTGACATTGTTAAAAAAAAACAAAAACAAAAAACTAAATCTAATCAGTAATTTATACATTTTGAAACTGAAGGTAGGTTTGGAATCAGTCATTCCTCATACCTTACCCCCCCCTTACATACCTTTTATGTAATAGCTTAAAATAAAGCTTTCTAGAGTCATTTACACTCTTCTTTTTAAAAAAAATGTAAAGAAAAATAGGCTGTAGTAATAGAGTTCATTAATGACTAAACAGTCTCCTAAACACAAGCTACTTGTTTTGGGGAGCACTTTTCCCCCTATACTATTTAAGGATTTCAGGTTTTAAAAATTGTTTAATGTCTTAATGTAAGGCAAAAGTAGAGTTTTCCTGTCTTTGCATGCCTTTAAGAGCCAAGACATGTCTTTCATATAGCTGAATTGTTTTCAGTAGCAGGAGAGAATAGGACTTAGTATTTTGAATGAACAAACTGAGTTAGTGCTCAGTTCTCTTAAGGAGCGGTCTTCCTATTAGAATTTACTGCAGTGGCAGAAAGTTTCTCAGTAGACTAGGCAAGTAATTATTGCCACTGGAATCAATTCCCAAAGAAATGGAATTTGCAAGGCGGAGCTTTTCAGCACAATTGCACTGCTTTTCAGCATCAGATTGATAGCAGAATTTGGCCAGACGCTCCTTGAGGCTAGTTTGCAATGGAGCTGCTGCTTTAGGGATTCTAAGAGGAGCAGTGCATTCATAGTTGCTGCTAAAAGAGACCTACCAGGAGACAGAAAAGAAACTGTTTCCTCTTTTTCTAACACTATGCATAACAAATGCATTGTATTTATTGGCTGGTTTTAGTGATAAAAATATTAAAGAAATATTGTATGGTTTGAAAGCATCTTGCTGAATGTTTGAATTGAAATAATAGCAAGAAAAAAAGACTTTAATGACATTTTGGTGCCTTTCATTTAACTGTGTTAAAAGCAAAATGTAGTAACACTGACATCAGTAATATTCTCAGTCTCAAAATGGGGTGGAAATATCAATCTTCCTAGTTTCAAGCTTGATTATGTTCATAGTCGAGTTTTTTTTAGCAATCATAAGCCTTTTCTACACAAACTAAAGCCAGGTGATTACTCTTGTATAAAATTTGTAGTTCACAATATTTAGTGATGAAAACAGTTGTATGGAATAAGTCAGATATGTCTGTGGCTATATCCAACAGAAAAGGTGTATCAGATCGTTGTGAGTAAAGATTACTGATAGGAGTAAGGGTTGTGGGATCAGGGCCTCACAGTATGTCCTTGTTAATGTTCATGTGACTCCTCTGTCTTAATAAATACTAATTGTCCATTGATACCTCTGCTTCAAAGTTTTAGATTTCTATTCAAAAGTGAAAGGTTAGGGTAATTATGGCTTTTTCCTTAACTGGTGCAAGATACAGCAGAATTAATTAATGGGCAGGAGGTGCTCTTTAAATGTTGCGGTTGTCATCCTCCCATTGGAGACTTTGTATAATTTCTGCCACTTGGTTCATCCTCCATGTATCTATAGTGAGAGGTAGAGGTGCCTGGGACTCCCCTGAGCTTATGAATTGGACCTCATTTATTTGTTGTCTGTTTTTTTTATATTTAAAACAATGTATTGACATCTTTCTTGTGAAATACAGTGTAATTAAGAGATGTGTCTAAAAGATGCAGCTAATTATACAAAACTGGAAATAATCCTAAAACCTCTTAAAGTCAGTGCTGCTCTGTTCCTAATCCATTGTTCTTTTTTATCCCTGACCAGATTAACTCGCATTTTAATTATGAAAATCAAAGTGTAGCACTGCAGAGATATGCAAATCATAGATATGTTACTGTTGTCATGCAAGTGTAATCTTTAGCACATCCAGAATATGGACAGTTTTCGTATTCTGGGTGTATCCAATGTGTTGTCTTTGTAAATCTAACTGAATCGGTATCTTTTAAAGAGGAAAATAAGAACATGCAAATTGCACCAAAATCAACAAAAACATTTCCCGTGTGCAACATAGCTCGTATTTATCCTGTGACATACGTGTACAGTAAGGTGACTGTATTTGTATCTTTGTTAGACTGCTACTCAGAAAAACTTACTATTACAGAAAAACAGTTTTAATTTAAAAAAACTAAACTGCTAAAACATACTTTAAAAATGTGAAGTGGTAATTTTTGGATTTAACTTTTAAAATATTATAGTAGGATGTTGTTGATCTTATGTGGTAAAGCGAAGCACAACTCTATAAAAGGGTAGAAAGCAGGTAAAACTAGAACCTCCCTCTATGAATTTCCCACTTAATAGAAATCTGTGAACATACCACATATTAAGTTAGTAATGAAGGTTGTATACTGTCCTTGAATTTTTCTGTACCTGAGTAGCCTCAATACTGGTGTTATGGAACAACAGTTAGTGGTTTAGTGATCTGCTCAGTTACTCTTCTCTTTAAACATATAGGAACATTTTCTTTATCTTACCATATAACTGACCAATAGATTTTCCTTGCCTGTCAATCACCCAAGGTATTTCATTGACAAAA